TTCGTTTCTTTTTTCCTCCAACGGATCAACGGTCATCGTGTTATCGGATTTAAATTATCCGACAAACTTGTAACTAACATTGGCATCCGATGCTTCGGCGGATCGATGATGGAGGACGTATAAAATCGTACGTCGAAAGTTCGCGATATAAAGAAGAGTAGGTGGTAGAAATTGGACGCAAGAGATTTAGCGCCGATACATTTTTAAATAAACGAATTGCGATATCTCCTCCTTGTTCGCAACTTTTTATTTGCCACCATATACCAGGCCTACCGATACCAGACCCGATACGAGAAAAATACGAATTTCCTCAACAGGAATATTCCGAAACCTCTCGCGTCCCATTAATCTGCCAGCCCTTTCTATTTCGGCATTCTGTATTTTAGGATTACGCTATGTGGCGGTCCCTTCGTGACGTCAAGATCCCCGCATAAATTGTAATAAATACAACGGCTTCAGTAGTGAAAATCCGTGTCATCGATTTACATTAACTGTGTTAGGTATTCATTGCGGGATTAGTAATCATGAGTTAGTACCAGCCGCGGGATTGCCGAGCTGTTCGTAAAGGGTTATAGAATCTCTCATGCTCCTTCGTCGGAAGTAGATTGGAAATTCTGTTTTTAAACCTGTTATCAATCTGTTTGCAACTTTATTCGTTTCATCCCCTGAAAATAAATATGTTCCGCGCGCGTTGCCACGTCGATTCTATAATCGACGCGACAGGCTAAAATTATTACGTGTTATTTACGTCGACATTACATGCAAAAGTGCATCGGTAAATATCGATAAATACATGCATTAACGGCACTTTCGCAGAAAGATATTATTGGTCTAATTATCGACAACGATAATTTTCGTAAATTTCTCGCAATTGATATTTAGTCCAAATTGAGGGAACAGCATTCTAAAATATCTAAATACTCCTGATCGATAATCGCCTACAACTCGTAATAGTTTTATAAGATTTATTAAATTGGGTCAAATTAATTAAATTTTTAGTATACATCTTTTTAGAATTCTACTTTTACTCAATAAAAGTTTAATAATTTTGTTTTCCTTTTATGATTATCTAATATTATATTGTCGAAATAACATATTTATATCTTTCTAAAGTTTATCAAAAAAATTTAGAAACATTTGATAATAATTGATAACACGCTGGACTATCTTTAGATTATCTGATACTGAACGTACAATAACATGGTGTTATTGAAAATCAGAGAAGCGCGTTTCTGACAGAATACAGATATTTGGTTATGTGAATTTTAAAATATCAATACTGAGGCTATCGGGCCAATGAACACACAATCTACGTTTCTATCATCGTTTTCAAGCAAAGTTTACGACTCCTATTGATGTGCAGCCATGTATGCTCCCGAATATGCTTGGGTGCATCACGAATACGCAATCAGCAGCAACGAAAAGCCTGTGCGATATAAAACTTAGATGCAGCAGTTTCATTGTTAAAAAAAAATTATTTCTCTCACATATTTTTTGTTAAATATCAATTAATATTTTATTTTTTAGATACTGTTGATAAGAAAAGTACATTAACAATTGAGAACAAATGTTAAAATAACTATAAAAAGAGTAGTATTATTACGAGAGATTGAAGATCATTATTAATCACACTTTTCAAGCTTCCACTGGTTTTTTCTTTAAAAAAAGATACGCGGTTTGCAAGTTATTTCCGTGTCTTGATACATCATTAAATGCTAACATTTTGTAAACATTGCAGTTTACTTCGTCAAGGCGAGAAGCAATCTGATACCGAGCTGCCTCTCTGGAATATTCTCTGTATATGCTGTTAAGAGAGAAAGAGAAGAGAGGGGAAGAGGACAGGTAATATGATAGAAGAGGAAGTCGCTGAAACTGTGATGCTACTGTGATGAAGGCGATTACTTTCGGTCGATTAATTTTCAAAAACCTGAGAGGATAGTTAGGAGATAGTTTTTCATATGATTATATGCAGTATGTCTTTGATTGGGACTTATGTGAAGAGGGATTCTACATCAAAGCTCTTCATGTCTTCAGAAAGTAATTTCTAATTTTCTGAATTTTCTGTATGACACATAAAATGTGTCGAGTTGATATATGATTCAATTTTTTCTATTACAGATTATAAATTGTAAGCAATAAAACATGAGAGACCGTATATTGGGAAATTTATGGGACCAACAATAGGGATGTTCAATTTGTGTATTTTTGGCAGGTCGTATAGTTGGGAAGAAGAGGATTTGTAGGTTTTATTATGTATCGATTTAATTTTATTAGAGATATTGCTTTTTTCTAGAATTTTGGTATATTGTGCAATTATTTGTTGTCTTTGTTAAGTCTTGTGTACATGTTGTCCAAAAGGGTTATTTTTTTCCTTTAGAACGATATATTCATGAAAATCGAAAATGATTTTAATATAAAAATCATATTAATATAAGACTATTTTATCTAATAATCAAATATTAATGCAAATGTGTTTTTATTTTTAAATACTTTTCATGTGTCTTTAACAATCTCTTCAATTTGCTAGAAAATAGACTTCCACATTTCCACAGAAGGTCGAAAAACATTTGGTTCTAAATATACATATAGTAACAATAATATATTATTACTATTTAAAATAAAGATTATTAAATAATAGCAGAATTTAATATTCCGCCGTATTTTCTAGAACAATAACTTTGTCTACGATAAAGAGTCGATAGTCAAAAGCTATTCTACAACGTTATTATTTTTTGTGTTTATTTTTATGTGTGAGAAATACATCCGATTATTTTATTGTTACGTCAGTGGTTCTTTTATTTTCACTAATCGTATCAGATAAACAAGGCATTTTTCGTTTTAGTTCAGTACATTCTGCTTTCTTCAATTTTAGTTCACTACGTCCAAAACAATTTTTTTTCTGTTTTTCTAATTTTATCTATCAGTAAAGAGGAAAATAATAAAGAGCGAAAAGCATACAAATATTCGTAGAGATATTTGTTGTGAAAAAACTGCGTACACAATTCATCTGCGCAGTATTACGGTTAAATTCAAAACTTATTATTTGCATCTGAGTCTCTGGAGGTTCAGTAGGCGAGTATCTCATTAAAAGTTATCGAGAACATATAAGTTTGCCTATAACGCCTATGTAATTAAAAGGTTGCACAACTATACAATTTACCTTATTAATGATGTATATGTCAAACTCATTATGACATGTACTTCATAAATGTTTTTTTTTTTCTTATTTTTATCATCTAATAAATACATAACAAGTATCACATTTAGGTATCACATAATATTATATTTATTGCACGCGTCTACAATAAAAGTCATTTCTATATGGTTCATGCTTCTTAAGAAAAAAATAACATTGCAATAATACATTGCGGAAAAATTAATTAGCATAAACAAAAGAATCATTATATGTTTAGTTTTTTGGGTTACAACACACACACACAATATATATATATATATATATTTCCGAATGACGCGCGAATGTAAATCGCTATATATAGTTATTTATTCAAACGTACGACGAACCATTGTTAATTTTCTACCTTTTCTACGAAACTAGTTATAAATAAATGAACTTTGAATCGATACGACGAGAATAAAAAGAGACATGTAAATAAGAGGTCGTCGTTGTCCGGTAGGTGCTAAAAATTTCGTTTCTCCATTTATCGTACACGGAGTGTCCCAGAATTATACTTGTGCTTTTCTTATATCAATACACGCTAAAAAAAGTGATAGTTACTTATGCATCAACAACTTTTTGTTATGAACTATTGAGAATTGAATATACTCAGTTTACTCTTTTACCTGATGCTTTTTCTTTGAATCTGTAGAGAGATATAATCAACCCTCTCTTTTTCTCTTATTTGAACTTTATATTAATTACATTTCTTACTTCTCATTTTTTCTTCTCTTGAGTCATATTATATTTAATTAAATTGTGATTGAATAAAATAATCAGTAAAAAAAGCTAACATTTTTCATGTCTTTCCTTAAATAGAGATTAAAATTGTGACAGTAAATATGCTAAAATAATTAGTACACGTGTTACAAATGTATGAGTTTCGAGAATTCCAAATCTAATGAATGTGTCGTCACGCTGTGTATTTTACGTCACGCACGTTAATTTATGACAGCAAACAGCGAAGGTGTAGCCATTAGCTAACAAAATGGAAAGGATATGTATATAAAATTGGACGATTAATTAATGAAAACTGTGCCTGAATCACATGAAAGTCAAGGTAATTCGAACGACAGTCAATTACATGTGTCTTTCGGGGGAAGTTCAGATCGACTAACGTCATTCGCAAACACTCCCACGAAGCTGCAACTGATGTGTTATCGAGAGACTGAGACGATCTCCCGCGAACGTAGGTAGGACCTTGCGACGTGCGTGGCCAAACAGTAATCGAAAGAACGTGCGTCAGGTGATGGCTACATGAGAAGAGATAGAAACTGGGCGGTTACGATTAGGTGCGCACAGCGAGGCACCCAGCCCGGCTGACTAAAACGGGTAGGGATAGGATTTTACAGGATAGCGAAGGTCGGACCGGGATCCTTCATTCTAGCTCCTGATTTTACGATCTCCGCTTTAACATAGGGGAAAAAGCAGAATGACTGTACGCTCAGGAACACCGAAATTATATAGACATTCCGTCTTTCAGATATTTCCAGATATCACCTTCTCTCCGTCAATACAATTGACGTTTTTCTACTTTGCATGCATCTTTCATTTCGAGCTATGTAGGGACTGAATGATATGCTCGAACGAGTCACGAACAGTGCCAGCCGGCAACAGTACGACACGTCCTATATATATTTGTGAGGAGTACAAAATTGTCATATACGAATAGTGATCGTGGACTGGATGCGGTGGCATTGGTGACAGCCACATCACCTTTGACCGTATCGCTGCGTGAAACGTCATACGAAGTCGCAGGGTGTACGGTCCGGGGGTGCTTAGGGCTCGCGGCAGCTTTAATCCGTTCATGGGCGCGTCGGCCGGGATGGAGGCGAGACGTGGCGAGGTGAGGCGAGGTGAGGCGAGACGAGACGAGGCGAGGCCAGGTGAGACGCGAGAAGGGGTGAAAGCCACCTCGTCGTCGCTCACCCCGGTGTCAGAGAAGAGGGGTAGCGCCGGGAGAATGCGCGTTGTATTAAAGCGCCGGGTCCTCGCCGCGCAGCGTGGGAGTTAGTTCTGGTGAGGGCGCCAGGCAGCTCACTCACCGAAGTAACCCACCATCCCAACCCTTCGATCCTCCACATCCCTCGACCTTCGACCAACAAAGCAACCATCCACGGCCGCAACCTCCTCACCATTCGATTCCGTCGTCTCTTCCCGTCAGTCGAGAGCACCTACTTCCGCGCCGTAAAGAAAAGGGGCGAGTCGGCCACTCGTCGCACCCTCGCGAGGATCTCCAGTGCGTCAACGACGGCGTTCGCGAGGGGGTGTGCATCAACGAGAAGCGGTGCTGTCGCGCGACGTGCCGAGGTCGGGTGAGCGGAAAGAGTTACGCATCGTGGGAGACGAAGTGAGACAGCAAGAGGGAGAGAGAGAGAGAGAGAGAGAGAGTAAAGGAAGAAAGAGAGAGAGGGAACGTTTCTCGTCGCTCAATGGAACACCGGCGCGGCCGGTCGAGATCGTCGGCGACGTCAGCACGGGAAGTCGGGCAACCGCGGGAAACAGCCTTTAACCTTTGAAATACGCCGCGCGATTATAGTCGTAGACCAGACATCATCGTAAAATACCGGCGTTCCTAGGGCCTAGAGAAAGGAAAGAAGAGAGAGAGAGAGAGAGAGGGAGAGAGGAAAAAGAAGCAGGGGTGGAAAGAGAGAGAGACGGAAGGGGGAGCACGACTGCATTAGAACAACCTGGAAGATTTGTCCCGGTAACTTCGCGGTGATATCGCGGTGATTACGACCTTTAGCATAACGTCAGATACCACACGTACACGTACGCACTCACTCACGTATACGCACATACATTCAGTGCGAGCGAGCGGACGGGAGCGCGCGAGCGCGCGCGCGCACGACATTACACGCCCATATATGAACGACCATACGGAAGCGGATCGTGGTGAGCGACGAAGATGTCGGTGAATGAATCGCGCCCTACCGTGGCTAACCGGACGACGTCGTACGTGGTATGATCGCACGGGGTGCTGCTAGGGTGCTGCTGTCGAGACAAACATAGGTATCTCCGTGGCGCGCGACGATCAAACGGGAAGAGGAAGAGGTGTCGTGATGCATGACGAACAACGTCGCCGGAACGGTAGCTTCAGTCAGAAACCACTGGGTGTCCACTGAGGAAGGCGGAACAGTAAAAGAAAGAAAATCGCGCGATCGCATGCAAAGAGGACCGAACGCACATCGGAGAACATCCCTCTCATTCACGGAGACGTTTCCGGTCGTGAGGTGAAGAGATATATATCGTACAGCGATATCAACATCAATCGCGCAGATTTGAAGTTTGAGGCTGGGTGAGAAAGAAGATAAAAAGAGGAAAGAGATAGATAGGCGAAGTGAGGGCGAAGTAAGAAAAAGAGGGAAGGAAACAAAGAGAAGAGAAGGAAAGAGAAAAGGAGGTAGAGGACGAGAAAGGAAAGGAGAAGTTTAGGTATCACGAGAAGCGGCGGCATCACGGAACGGCGCGACGCGACGCGGAGGGTCGAGGGAAGAAAAGAGGCCGAGGCGGGAGATCGGAGATCCGAAAGCTCGGAGGAAATACGCAGGCACGGCAGACGCGCGACGGCGAGATATCAAGAAGCAAGTATTACCCACGTAATGCCCCGCGTAACCACTGCACCTCCTATGTATATCGATGAACCGTAATCTCTGTCTGTAACTCTCCGGGCGTCTCTCGCGCCCGGGCATCCTCACTATATACATATATATCGGTGTACCTTTTTTTCTCTGCCTTTGTTCTACACACCCTGTGTACCTCTGTCGCAAACACACGCTCGTGTAACCGCCTACTCCCGCGTCTCGCACCGACAAACGCGCACCGCTCTCTGCCACGGCAAGCCTTTGCTTTTTGAACGTTTTTCGGGGCACCTGTTGATATGACCGACCTACATACCACACTGCTATCCACATTATGTCACCCTTTCATAATGTCGTACGGCACACACCAGACCGGATCCCCGTTACTTGAGATCCGATACTCGAGAATCGTCGCGTCCTGCGTGTCGATTCCGCTCGCGCGAATCACATCGCCGCGGATCGTCGTGGCGCGTATCAGACACGGCTGATGTCCGTTTCTACCAATGTAGACTGACTTTGATCTCGGTTTAATGTACTTTTTATCCTTCTTTAATTCTTGAAATTAAGAAATGATAAAAAGTAAGTCAAATTAAGATTAAGGTTGATTTACATTGGTAAGAACAGGCCTCTGAATATCATTTTCGCGCAATGGCGCGAAAAGTTTCCCGTGACCTGAATCGTAAAGCTATTTAGATTAAAGCTACTCGTTTCGTCCCTCAACGCAATCGCGATTCCGTCATTTTGCTTACTCAATATTTTGCGAAATTGCATGACGACGCTCCAAGTATCACATATGAATAATTTGAGAAAAAGATTGTGCGTTTTCAATTGTGAAAGATTCTTTTAATCAAAGGGACGCGATTAAATTCAACGCAATCGTGAATCGTCGTACAAAATCGCTTGGGGGCACTTAAGTTCGATTCATAAATTTTTATAGCAGGAATTCCGAGCAAGAGTATACTTGGGTTGCGTTCCGTTGCACGTATAATGCGCGTGACATATGATTTTATCCTTGTCTAACACTGCGAATAAAGCTAAAATGATACCTCATGCGCATTATGCGTGCGACGAAACGCAGCCTTGGAGTAATTTTAGTGATCCGAGTGGGTTTGACATTTGAGTCCATCACCGAGTCCGAAATTAACTCGAACGAAACTTGGGTCGAGTAAGTGAGTGCGATTCTAGCGCTCGACATAGCGTTTGAGTACACAAATTTTGGAATTTACAGAACCGTAAGAGAGGAATCGCGCCGATAACCTTCTGTAAATTTCGCGATAGTCTCTCCGTTCCGTAATGGCACGCTCCGTGAAAATGACTCCGCAGTCACGTACGCGGCTTATCTCGCCGACATTATGGTCGCGGAGCGAAACTTAGGTATAGGCGCGATTTATTTACAAGTGGACACGATTAGATTATTATTAATCCGTGAATTATCCGTAATCGCGATCGCCGCCGGGGCGTCATAGCTTGATTTCCGCTTTGTGGAAACGTACGATATCCGGGATGTTCGTTCGATACGTGAAGCGGAAGGGAAGATAGGAACGTACGACAGAGAGGAAACGAAAATGAGAGGGTGGGCCGATTGAAAGAGCAGAGATAGGAAGAAAAGAAAGAAAGGAAAAGATAGAGAGAAAGGCAAGAAAATGAAAGGTAAGCGGATGAGGAAACATCACCGAGGGAGAGGGTCGTCTCTCGGAGAGATGATATAGCTTTATTGGCGAAAACGCGAAGCGATCGCGGGGCGTTTAACATGAGTGGCACCATCGATTGATTTAAATGTTGTCCACACTCGAGCACCTTATACGCATCTATGAGCACGCACGATGAGCACCTCCGATAACCACCTCCACACGTCGCAGCACTTCTGTTGAATATCCTGAGAAAAAAAAAAACAAAACTAAAAGTAATAAATAAAAGAAAATTTTAAAAAAAATCACCACAAATCTTTTTGTGTTCCTGGCACTCACGGTTATAGGATATCGCACGTTATTCTCTATTAACGACCTGATTTCAGGACGGTCGGTACAGGACGTGTGCGCTTTATCACGAAGGGAAAACCAAGGTCGCGGCTACTATCATGGACTACCGAAAGTGAAGCGTATCGATTAGAAGAGCGAGCATAACGCAATCAAATGTCAAACGTAACACACCGTGCGCTCGAGTCGGCGACTTATCCTCGATAGAAACAGAGAGATTGGGAAGGAGGAAAAGAGAAAAAGAGAGAAAGGGGCCCCAGTACCTCTCGGGTCTCCTGCGATAGAATCCGTGGTCCCAATTGGAGCATGCTAGGCAGATTGCAGTTGCACGCGTAGCACCGTTACGTTTTCTATGCAATAATCGTCGTTGTGCCGTAACATATCGCCGCTCGTGATTTTTTATCAAGTTTATCCTTCCTTTCCTCGCTCTCTCGATATCAATCGACCGCCCCGTATCTCCTGCCCACCCTGCACACACACACACACGTACAAATAAAACACAAACGCATACACACACACACACACACAACACACACACACATACATATACACACACACACACACATATACACGCGCACACACTCACATATATACACACACGTATACGTACATATTCACTTACACTTATACGTATATATATATACATATATATATATATACACATATACTTGTAATATACAGACATTCCATCCTCTTCCTAGTGTACCTACCGTGAGTTCAAACGAAAAGTCGGCCTAACCCAGAATTGCTACAGATGTGCCTTTAGACTGGCAATGAATAGTAAGCAGCTAAAGAGAGCAAACAAGAAAATATAAAAGAGAAACGAGCATCATTGCTGTTCATTTAGGTCAATTATAACACCACGCCCAGCCGTATAATCGGGTGCGTCAAAAGTGGTGGTAGAGAAGGAAGAAAAGAAAGAAATATATACGTAGAGATATATATATATATATATATATACATAAATATATATAGAGACAGATAGAAAAAGTTAGAAGCGTAGGAGAGAGAGAGAGAGAGGGGGGAGGGAGGGAGAGAAGAAAATAAAGAAATAGAGAAAAAAGCGTTAATGATTTGTAAAATGGCAGTTTGCATGTTCTGGCTTCTCACCTACGTGGGACAGGGGCTGGATTTGGCGGTGGGCAATCGACCCGTGATTATACAAGTACAAGGCACACAGGGATTGGACTATCGTCACGGAAGCGGTAGCATCAGAAAGAAGAGCGAACTGAGCTCGGTAGGTAACAACCTGTTGCATCTAAAAATATATCCTTCCGATGGTCCCTACCGGGACGATCTGTCGAACTGGCTGGTCTTCAACGACGAGCCGCGGATATCCTCGTGGTCGCCCGCGGGTATGCTGATTGACGACATTGTCAAGGAGCCGCGGGAGCTCCAGAACGTGTTCTTCGCCCTGTCACCCGCCGTGCTGAACGTCCTCTATTCCGAGTACGTAACGTCGCAGCCACACGGCGCGACGCAGCCCCACGTCGCGGAGCCCTACGTTCACGACGATGGCAATCATCTGCTCGGCGGCCGGCAGGCCCATCAACGTCTGAAGAAGCGGCGCATCGGATGTCGGCATCCACTGAGAGGTCCGCTCAGTCTACCGATCCTGGTATGCGACGAGGCTGGGAAGAAGGCTACCACCCTTCAGGAATCTAGACAATCGAATCACGACGATCTCTACGCGGAGCAGAGATTTAACACTGCGACGAGTACGAAGACTGATCTCGCGCGCGCCGAGGGCGGCACCCCGCTTAACTTACCTACGAACGGCGGCTTTGTACCTAAGGCCTTCGCCTACGAGACTAGCGGAAACAAACTACCCGGAAGTAAACGGAGCCAGATAACGATCGGACGGCGTTCGATCGACGCGCAGGGAGAATCCCCGGGACACCAGGCTCAAGCGTCCTCGGCGTCCTCGACATCGTCCGCTGGCGCGAGCATCGCTTCACAGCTCATGCTGAGATCAATCCGGGGAAGCATACAATACGACGTACCGCAAATCGGTAAGTAATCCTCTCCTTCTACGTAGATACTTGTGAATAGTCCGCGAAAATGTTTAATTGATTAACAAGACTATCGAGTACTTTAATCCTCCCGGATTACAAAAGATCCGAGTTTGAATCCTGGCTGGGGTAGTATTTTTCGCAATTTTACAACAAATTATTTACAGTTTCTAAGATACTTGTTTAAAACAATATTAAACTGTATTAAATATTAAATATCGTATGACTGTACATATAAGAACACAACCAATATTAAACTATTTATCAATAATTTATGACATTACTACACCAGCTTCGGCTTAGTACTGTGTTTCAAGACCGATAAATAATCGGCGCACACTTTGAACAACAAGAAATATTAATCACGAATATAACGTTTTTCATTCATGTGTGTTCAATCCTCCGGAGCTGATGTCAAAATCTGTATAAATAGTTATTGACGCTAAATTTATAAAACCCACTTAATTTATGTGAATTAGAAAGTACTAATTTTAAGGAATCAAAATAACTTATATAAAAAGGAATGAATACTAATTGTACGTATATTTTGATAAGAATAATTCAATTCTGTTACAAAGAAAATTAAATTGTTTGACATTTTTGATAGAAAGATTTATAATTGAAGTGGTCTAATAGATCCATTGTCGGCTTCAAAAAGTTAAAAATTTAATTTTAAAAAGTTCAAATTTATATAGTTATAACAAAGAAAATTGAATTGTTTGATATTTTTAACGAAGAAATTTATAATTGAGAGATTTAATAGAGCCACCGTCAGTTTCGGAAGGTTACAAAATTCCAAAAATTTCAGAGGAACATATTATCCTTTTGATAATGTATATACAAAAATATTATTTCACTTGCCCATTTTTTCCCTCTTTATCTTCTTTTATTATAAATATTATTAAAATATTAAAACGTTTGTATGAAATTTTTAAAACGTTCGATTAATTTTATGAGCAGTTTTATAGACAAAGAAACATTTTTCTGCAAAAAAGTAAGTTTTTGTTCGATAAATGTCGATGCATTTCAATTAAAACATTTATCATATCAATAAGTTACAGAAATAATTCATTTTAAGTGCC